TGCTATTGCTATTGCTATTAAGTAATTAAAAACTGGTATATATATGAAGTGACTATTTAGAATACCTTGTTGAAAAATGAAGGAATAACATCTTTGTTTGAATGTATGATGTACAAGGACAATAATGAACATACTCGATAGTTGATTGGTGGGATTATACATAATTGAAAACAGTGATATACAAATATAAACGTTTGGTAAAAAAATTTCATATCGGGATAGGTAATTATATAAAGGTAAATTGTTATTAAACAGACAATCAAGAATGTAAGGGAATTAGGTTTATTGGGAAAAATATATTAATTGTAATTGAATATACACTGTACAATGAAAGTGAGGTACCTAGTTATATATTAGATGAAAAATCTGTGATTGTAAATGTAGTTGAGAATATGGATGCAAAAACACTTGTAACCAAACGACATGCTGTATGTAATGGATGAGAATTTTTTTATGTTGTTTTTTTATGTTTAAAAATAAAAACAAATTGAAAAAAAAAGCAACCCTGGCCATTATCTGATCTTGGTGGACCAGATTCCTTTGGGATGAGTACACACAGCCCTTCTGGGCCACACAACAGACATTTTCCCTTTTCTCCAGATGTCTGTTTGAGCAACCATGAGTGGCTGAGGTTATTCCTCCTGGCACTTCTCCAGCTTCCCACAAAAACTACCTTTGCAATATCATTGATCAAATCCTGGTATCTATTCTTTGGGTTTGCCATGCCCAGTTCGGTCAGTTTCTTCAGCCCTGATTGAATTTTGTCCTTCTTCTCTTGAAGACTCAAGTTATTGTCCTCCTTGACAGCTTTTGACTTCTTCATTTTGTCAGGGGTTTTAGCATCTCGAATAGCCCGTCTCTGCATGGCCCTTTGGTGTTCAACTTCCTAGAAAAGGATCAACATGTCATTTGGAAATCACAATCTGACCAAGTAAAAATGCCAATCTAAACAATTTCTCATCGTGCCCTTGGCCTGCCATGAGCCACCCCTTCAGAACTGGCACAACAATTCCCTTACCTTATGAGATGTAGCTACAGAGCCATGTAGAGTAAAGTATCTTTCATACCTGCTCAGCAGCAGCTGGAATTTCAAGGATCTCTGTTAATGTTTCTCCTGGCTGGAAACGGATCACATCCACAATTAAACGTTTGGTGCTAGGAAATAAAAATAATCAAAAGCATGATAAATTATTTATGTCCATCCTGCCAGGGAGATGTCAAGGCGTCTGTGTCAGAAGCAGACACAGATTTTGGCCTACCCAGGCACCTAATGGATCAGGATCATGTCCAGGGGTTGTTTGAGGTTTTCCACAACCTTCTGGCAAAAATGGGGTCTGGCTCATGGAGCTACTTTTGGGATACCAATGCCACAGTGTGGCCTCTCTTTGCTTGGTTGTCCTTGGTTTCCTAAGGACTGAGGGAAAGAGACTGAAAGACAGCTGGAAGGATCCTGGCTTTAAACCCAAAGTCATTCATTTCAAACACTGCTAACAGCTCATGCTGAAGCCTACACTGTGCAAGAGTAGCTAAGGAACAATCCTCTACATAATTATTGCATCCGTGGAGTCTCAACTGGCAGACTTACTTATGTTGAATAACTTGAACCCTTCTGGAGAACACAGGCAAACCACAGCTCCAATAGGCAAGCTGGATGGACTTGTGAGTTTCTTAATGGATAAGGTAGCTTTGATGCCAATTGGACAGTCTAAGGAGGGGTCCCCAACCCCAGGGCTGTGGACTGGTACTGTTGGGAACTGGACTGCAAAAGCGACAGGGGGCACACAAATCTTCATTTGTGCATGCATGGGAGTTAGGTTGCGCATGAGAAACTCTCCCCTCCCCGACTGCCTCCACTGCTGCCAATCCATGGAGCCAGAAAGGTTGAGTACACTGGTCTACAGGACTGAATGGGGCAATATCTTGTGAAAGATATTTCCTAGGTCGGAGACAGATGGAATGGCCCAACTCAGCCGGTTGGCTCTGTTCCTAAGGCAGAACAGCTGGGTGGTTTCTCTGTCTCTGTGCAGGGAAGACAGCCAGTGCTGAAAGGCAGCAGACCCTCACTACAGATTTGGCAGGCCTGCTCCAGGGCAGCCCCTTCCTCGCCTTCACTTACTTCAGCAGGATCGTCTTTGCATCCATCTCGGCATTCTCATCACCAGGAACATCAAACTTGTTTGTCAAAGTGAGAGAAACCTCGGTTTTGGCAAGCATCTCTTTACTGGGATCATTCACGTTGCCACATCCTTCTCCTGCAAGAGAAAGAGCGGGTCTCCTTTCTGTACAATCCTCGACTGGTGAAACAGCAGCATATAAAAGGCATCTTTAAGACGGCAATAATACAGCTATATTTAAAGCAATTCCCCATAAAGCAAATAGCGAAGCCCTCCCATGTTTAGGAAGCTTTGTAACAGTCCAGTGAAGAAATAAATATTGTTTAAAATCCATTATAGTACATTAGAAACATTGCATCTATGCAGTTATAAGAACAAAAAAAGTTTTCAAAAACATCAAATAATCTGCCAGGCCTGATATCAAAATCTAAATAAAAAAATCCAGCAGTTTTCTAAAGGACAAGCCACCAGGGGCCTAACCTCCAGAGAGAGCAAACACCATTTAGACTTTTATTTTCAGTCATAACTGTCCAGAATTCATTCAATATCTGAAGTGAAAAAATAAGAGCAAAACATTTTGCACGCTGAACCGGCAGTAATGCCAGTAGCAACCCACCCCTGATACATATACAGTATATACAACACCACAACACACACAAAATAAATAACAATAATAACGCCACATAAACAAATAAACAGAACAACCATGTGCAACCAAAAAACCAAGAGGAGCAGACATGACTCCTGCCAGCTTTCCCATGGACATTGCTTTGGGGACACTGGCGGGGAGCACTGAAAAATCTCCCACATATGACCACAGGGGTGCTGGAAAAACCATAGTGCTAGAAGAGACGAATGTGTTACGGGGAAAAAAAAGAAGCCTGTTTTATCTTTTACTCCCCCTGTATGCATTACAAATGAAAAAAAAAAGTTATTAGTAAAGGGGATGAAAGTTAAAGGAAGGAAGGGAAGATTGTTAAAGCACTCCAGAAGAATGTATTTATTTATAATGCATAAATTCATAGAAAGTGATAATATTTTGTTGGCCAGCAATGCTATTATATGTATATAAAGTAGAAATATATTGAAATACCCATAAAGGAAGATAAAATAAGTATTTTTGCAAAAGACTGAATCTTATATGGCCTTTTTGCAGAAAACGGAAAGAACTAAAACAATCGTTTTAGATGTTAAATAAGGAAACAAAAGGATTGTTATGTTTAAGGAGGGATAATATTTTTTATTATAATTGCTGTAAAGGTTGGAAGTAATTTCTTTAATTATTTTTTTCTCCTTTCTTTTTCAACTGTATTGTTTCCTGCCATTTTTCCTTTATATATTTCTTCTTTTCCTTTTATTCAAGTAAAAAATTTCAATAAAAAACATTTTTAAAAAAGAATATAAAAAGTATTTATACTGCATTCAGAAAATATTCAGACCTCCTTCACGTTTGTCAATTTTGTTATGCTGTAGCCTGATTCTACAGGTTGAAATTCATTTTTTTTCTCATTAATCTATACTCAGTACCCCATAATGACAAAGGGAAAACAGAATTTTAGAAATGTCTGTAAATTTATTAAAAAGAAATAAGTGAAATATCACATTGGCCTAAGTATTTAGACTCTTTGCAACATCACTTGAAATTTAATTCAAGTACCTCCCATTTCTCTTGATTGTTGCTGATATGTTTCTACACTTTAACTGGAGTCAACCTATGGTAAGTTAAATTGGATGTGATTTGGAAAGGCACACACTTCTCTATAGAAAGTCTCACAGCTGACAATGCATATGTAACACAGGAAAAGCCATGAGATCAAAGAACTGCCTGCAGAGCTCAAGACACAAGGCACAAATCTGAGGAAGGCTAAAATAACATTTCTGCCGCACTGAGTGGCTAGATGGAAGCCTCTTCTCAGTGCCAAACGGAATCAATTCTAAGTGTTACATCTGGAGGAAACCAGGCACCACTCATCACCTGTCCAATATCATCTCAACAGTGCAGCATAATGGTGGAAGCATATGCTGTGGGGGTGTTTTTCCAGTGTGTGATGTGGGAGGGGTTATGGGTGGGATATCAACACAGCCTGATTGGTCCAGAGACTGAGGGAATTTTTTTTGCCATACCTCCTCCTTCCCTTGGCTTCCTAGTTTCCTTCAGTCTTTGGTCCAAGCAGACCGTGTTTTTTGGCTCCTGCTTGAGCAAAAATTGTGAACTTCTTTTGTAATTGGAATGATTGGCTATCCTAAATTTCTAAATTGTTCAGCTGCTGGCATTGAAGGGGCCGTTCTTCCGTTGCCACCAGGAGGGAGTTTGCTATAAAGCTGGGGCAACCAGACTAAGCTTTTTGTGCAGGGGCAGTGCTGGAACAGAGTGTTGGAACCAGGTGAGTGATTGGCCAGCTCACAGAAAACTTTGAATTTGATCTTTAAAAGGATCCCGGAGCAGAATTAGCAGCTAATTGGCATTTGGGGAAGTTTGTGGAGAAAAAAGGAAACAATGGAGGTTTAAGTACTAAAGCCTTAGAAGACTCTTGTTTTTACATTTGGAGTTGAAGATACTAAAAATAATAAAAAGAAAGAACCTGGAGGGGGACGGGATTCCTTTTCTCTTTTTTATGAATTTAAAGTGATTTTTGACAGCTTTTGACAATCAGCTGTTGGAGTGTATTGCGGATTGGAGAGCACCATTTACTGGTGAGAAGAGAATACTACAACACCTAGTGGAAAAAGAAAGTGAGAGTGCAGCTGCGGAATATGACCTTGGCTACAGGAAAAGATACTTTGGAACTGTGAGAACTTTTAAGGAGTGTTGGTTTTGTAACACTGTTTGGCTTCGACTGTCTACAGCTGTGGAAGAAAATAAATTTCAACTTGGATTGGACTAGACTAATACCGGAATTGGACATTAGAACTTGGAAATAAAAAGAAAAAAAAGAATTTCGTGGACTTTAAACTTTAATTAAATGTGATATAACTCAAAATTGTAAAAAAAATGTTAAATTAGTTAAACTTGCATTATGGAGCTTTGGATATGTGATGAATTACTTGAGATGCTAAAAAATGCCTGTGAAACTTTAATTGGTAAAAAAAAGTAATAAAACCAGATGGAGCATGCAGACCGGGAAATAGGAGAAGAGGGGGCAAATGAAGAACAGGAAGATAACATGGAAGAAAAAGGAATTGAAAATAAAGTTAGATCAGAGATGGCTAATCTTTTCTCCATCACATGCCAGAAGCGGGAAGAGCGCAGGGGGGGGGTCGTGCACGAGCATGCCCACACCCATGCTATGCGCATGACCCCATGTGCATGCACGCCCCTGCTTTTGGCGCACGATGGATCCGCGTGATGGAGGGCAAAAAGAGCCTTCCTTGTCCCGAACTGCGCAATGCAATACTGCACTTTAACTACTGAGCCACCAGAGCTCAGTAAAAAATGGGGCGTTGGTTCTTACCTGATACGCCCCTTCTCTGGGCAGGTGGAGNATACTTAAAAGGGAAATATATAAATAGGAACGTTGGGGAATTTGGTTTTTTTGTTCATTTTTTCTTTCCCTCTCTGTTTTCCATGCAATCACATGATACATTTGTTAAGATCTGTGCCTTCCCTAATTTAACTGAGATTTATGGTGGGAATGACCAGTATCATGTGTGTGAGCCTGAGAGTTTTGTTTTTCCTCTCATTTTCTCCTTGTGTGTGTACACGTGTGTGGGTGTGGGTGTCAAAGTCTTTGTGTTCCCTGGAGGCAAATGTAACTGTTAAATGTCTCTGATCCCTTGGAGAAAAAAATAAGTACCCATATTTTTCAGAGTATAAGACGCACCGGAGTATAAGACACACCAAGGTTTTGAAGAGGCAATTTTTTTTAAAAAAGTCGGTAGGTAGATAGAGGGAGAGACAGGAAGAGAAAGAGAGAGAAATACAGTAGGTAGGTAGGGAGAGAGAGTAGTCAGGTAGGTAGGTAGATAGATAAAAGGATAGAGAGAGAGAAATAGAGATAGATGGGGAAATAGAGAAATACAGTAGGTACGTAGAGGGATAGAGAGAAATAGAAAAAGAGAGAGAAATACAGTGGATAGGTGGGGAGAGAGTAGGTATGTAGGTAGAGAGAGAGAGTAAGTAGGTAGATAGGTAGGAGTTTGGAAATCTTTCTGCTACCTCTTCAGTGAAGAAATTGACTAATGGGGCATGCCACCTCTCCATGGAATTGGGAGACTGTTGGGTCTTAGTTTCACAGAACAAAAACCAAAAAGGGGAAGCTTTATATCAGGAGTCCTCAAACTACAGCTTGCGGGCTGGATATGGCCCACCAACATGACGTATCCAGCCTGCACAGTGGTAGGATTAAGCCCTGCCCCTCGATTTTGAGCCACTCCTTGTATGGCTGGCTTTTCCCGCCAGCCTCATCATCCCTCCTCCAGCCATTGGCCTTATATGTACCTTGCAGAATCTAGCAGCTGAGCTGTGTACTTCTGTTCATTGCTGCTCACAAAGGTAAGGAGAAAGGGCACGGGCCGGAGGATGGGTGGGGGAGGGCGAGCTGGCAGATACTGGTGGTGGGTGTACTGCCATGTGCAGGTAGTAGGGGAGCATGTGGGAGACTGTGGCATCGCAGCCCTTCTGGTGTGTTTCCCGAAGCCGGTCTGGCCTAGGGATCACACGCCACTTCCGGGCCAGTTTGGGCAGAGGCCAGAGAACTTGACAACTCGCCTGAAAAGACGATGGCAGAGCCTTGCAGCTTTTATCTGCCATATGACCTCTGGATAAGGCTCCTCCTCCTCTTCCCTTCCCTTTTCCACAGTGTCCTGTTTGTCCAAACACATAAGCCAGGCAACAATTCCCAGGGAGGTTCCCATACCGAGGAAGCTCAGACAGTAGCTAATGGCTTGCCCACTGCATAAACTGCTCCTGCCCCTTTCAAAATGGCCACCCAG